TTCCTGCTGTACTAAACCTCCCAGGCTCATTATGGGTTGCCTCCCTTCAGACTTATCCTTTTTCAGTCGGTCCTTCTAAAAAGATGATAGTAACAGAGGAAGTTTCAATCCAAAAAAATCTGAGTAGCCTTAGCTCTTTGCATGCCCCCTTTTCCTATATGCTTATCCTTAAGTTCCTTCAATAGGCAGCCAGCGTCTGGCTGATACTGACAAATTTAGGACTTGTAATTTGTCACCATTGCACTTCTGTTGTGCTAGCAATGATGGAGGATGTAGATGAGACAAAACTTAGGTGGATAGCATTTACTGTTATTCACCAGGAATTTTGCAGTAATGGTTAAATTAGGGTCCTAAATTTACCAATATAGATATAATCAATACACATTCTCTTGATGATAATCACTCTAGTAAGTGTTTACCAGGCAGAGATTTATCTACTTCTTCGACCTTTATTGAAAATATCAGAGCAAATGTTTACTGTGCCCTGCTGCTGAATTCTGAATTGCTAACTCTCAATACCACCATCTACTATATCTCCGGTCACAGTCCTCATAACATAACCACTGGCCTTATGATGAAGAAATGCTGGATAATTCCTTCAGAAGAAAACCATAACATTGATCCTGAGATAGCTTCATGACTGCCACAGAATAATGGAGCACATCCTATTTTGCTGGGATAGAGTAAACAACTAAGTTGTTCTTGACTGCTAAATCCTTAACAGAATGTTGCTAACCTGCCCAAATGTGGTTGATTTTTAAATTTTAATCTGCTTGCTGCTTCAGTATTTTTATGAATTTAGTGACTGTGAAAGGTACTGGCTTGGCAACTATGGGAACCAAAGCCTTCTGTTTGTCCACAGATTAATTATAGCAGGGGCAGTGGCAGAACAAACTTCTCCACAGTGCCCATGTCCTTCAACCATGGGCTGAAGGGAGCACATCTGATGGTGAGAAAACAGTTTATTCTTCATGGCTATTCATTTTTTGCATGGATGTTCTGTGATACTTTTCTTTTAATATTTATGATGTTATTTTTATAGGGCTAGAATTAGATTTTCATATGGTAATTGCCAGGATTAATCGTATGGCAAAAATAATTGTCAATGATAGTTACTTCATTAATTTATTCCCTTACTGCCTACATTAGGCCCTAATCCTGAAGACACTTGTATGTGTGCTTAACTTGATTAAAGTAGCCTCATGAATAGAACTAGTCACATGCATAAGGTTGTGCATGTACATAAGTGTATTTAGGACTGGAGCCTTGAACTCGGTATAGATGAACCTCTGCATTTGAGTGGAATAATACTGACATTAGTGTCAGATTAGGGGCCTCACATGTTAATTCCTTGGCTGGTGTTAAATCATTTGCTTTGTTGCTGCCTCTTCTGTTTTATGCAAGCCTGACTTAAATTAGGTTGTTCAATTTCTTCTCCAGTGTCACGTATGGTAAATGTGATGGTATATAGCTTTTAGACTCAAGGCATATATAAAATCTTATTAAGTCTCACAATACCTTTGTGAAGTATGAAGTGCACTTTCTGTACCCATTTTACTAATGGGTAGACCAAGGAGTAGGAAGATTGAATGAGTTGCCCAAGATAATGAATAAGTAGCAGACTAGGCACAGAATTTGATTGTTTATCCTTTTTTCTACTCTCTGCCTTTGTTTGTAAAATACGTAAAATTAAAGTTAGGGATTTTATATTGATGCATCTAATTTAAAAACAATAGGTGAAAACAAAAGGGAGAACAGCATCATGCCCTTATACAAAGCTATGGTGTACTTACATCTTGAATACTGTGTGCAGTTCTGGTCTCTACATCTAACAAGGATGTAGTAGAATTGGAAAAGGTACAGAAAAGGGCCACCCACATGATCACAAGTATGGAGCAGTTTTCATACCAGGAGAGACTAAAAAAGCTAGGTAAGACTCCAGTTTGCAAAGAAGACTGAGGGAGGACGGTACAGAGGTCTATAAAATCATGAAGGGTGTGGACAAAGTGGATAGGGAACTGTTATTTCATTCACCAAGTTCCTGAATACCAGAACTAGCGGGCACCTACTGAAATTAGTAAGAGATAGGTTTAAAGCTAACAAGGAACAGTACTTTTTTTACACAATGCACAGTAGACTTGTGGAATTCATTGCCACAAAGAGGTAGTAGAGGCAGATAGTGTAGCTAGGGTAAGAAATGAACAAGGCCAGTTCAGTTCATGGATGATTGATCTATTAGTTGTTGAACTGGACAGTTGGAGATGTTTCCTTTGGCATATCAAAACTAATAATGGAGGCCAGGGAGGATAATGAATAGGGAATAGATCACTCCAGATCAGGAGTGGGCAAGATGGCAGATCCAGCCAGCCTCCATTTTCCATCAACCCCTGCTTGTGTTGCTGTGGCCAGTTTCCATGAGACCTCACCAGTGGCGGTGCTGTGACAGCACGGGGCCAGGGTTTCCATGGAGACCGGCCCACGCAGCACCGGCAGGGTGTGCGGCTGGGCGAGGAGCTGCTCTGGGGCCAGGGCTTGCAGTGGTGACAGCATAATCTGGAGTTGGGGCAGAGCTGCGATCTGCTGCTTGCACGCCCCTGCCCAGGGGCATGTGGGCAACAGATTGCAGCTCTGCCTCAACTCCAGACCATGCTGTTGTTGCTACAAGATCCCAGCCCTGGATTAGCTCCCTGCCCAGCTGCATACTTTGCCATCACTTCTGGGTCTGGTTTCCATGGAAACCCTGGCCCAGCACTGTTAGAGTGCCACCACTCTTGGGGTCTCCATGGAAACTGGCCACAGTGACATGGGCAGGGGCTGCTGGGAAATGGAGTCCTCTGCAGGCCTGATTTGGCTCACAGGCTAGACTTTGCCCACCCCTGCTCTAGATATATTGGTTCAATGGTGTCCTTTTAAAGCAGTAGTGCTTAATCTCTGGCCCACAGATCAGATCCAGCCTGTGGTACCATGCCATCTAGCCTGTGAGGCTCTCTCCAGATCCAGAAATTTGGCAGTGAGGAAGTGATGACACTGTTCCCCTTTGCCAAATCTCCAGACCTGTGGGGATCCCAGGGCCCAGACCCATGGATCTGGCACCCAGTTTCAGTGTGCAGGGCTGGGAATGGGTGAGCACAGTGCTGGGTCCCCAGGACCCAATCTCAGTATGTGGGGGGCATGAGTGGGTGGTGCTGAGCCCCTGACCCAATCCTAGTGTTCAGGGTGCTGGGAGGGAGCAGTACTGGGCCCCAATCCTGGTGGGAGGAGGTTGTGTTGGCCCCTGGGACCCAATCATAGTTGGAAGGGTACAGCAGGGGGTAGACCCAGGGACCTAATTCTGATGAGACGGGGCATTGCTGGGCCCCCAGGGTCCAATCCTGGTATGTGGGGTAGGTGATCTGGCCTGCAGACAGATATTATGTTACACCTGTGGCCAACAGAGTCAAAAGGTCGAGCACTGCTGTCCCAAAGCATTTGCTTCTGCCACTGCCATAGGTAGAATACTGGGCTAGATGGATCATTGGTCTGACCCATTATGGCACTTACATTCTTATGGGGACATCTTTGCAAATTAATATAAAGGCTAATTTCCCTATTTTTGGGCACATTTTGGAATGTTGCATCCATTTATTTGCATTTCTTCCAAAAACCATGCCTCCAGCAATGAAATTATTGCTTCTCCACAATTTTAAATTGAGAGGTTCAGTGAAGATGATGGAAGATGGAATTTCAGCAACAGTACAGTAAATGTCACTTGTCTACTGGTAGATAATAGAGTACCAGTCTTTTAAACAAAACCACATGTGTTCCACCTGTGGTTTACAGGTAGAAGATGGTGATAGCAAGGAGGCTGCAAAAGTTCATGGATATGGCCCACATTATTTTTTGGTAAACTTATGAGAGATGCTGTGTTTCTGTGGCTTTCCTTTCTCTATTGCAGTTGCATAGTATTATAAAGTGAAGAATAATAGAGAACAAAGCATTACTGGGTGCTTGGGATTTCCACAGTCCTTCCTATCTTTGTGGTACTGTTACCATAGAGATAGGAATATTGGAGATTAACCCTCTCCCAGCTATTTACAAAATTGGTCTTGGAAGTACAAGTGTATCTAGGCATGGGAGTCCTCTATACTGAAAATTAACAATACAGCCCTGTGTCAATAATTACTTTAGTACTCGTGGTATCGTCCATATAAATAAGGTATCCTTTACCAGAACTAAATACTGTTACAAGTTATTCATTGTACTGTATTGTTAAAAAAAATGATATTCCTTTATATTTAAACCAAAAGGTAAATAGCAAACAAACTTATATAACATGTATTGATTTAAAACAAAAAAAACAAAAAAGAGGACATTTGTTTTCTTAATGTGGATTTTGTAGTTTGTTTTCTTGATCTTAGATACTTTTTTTTACTTTCTTGAGACTTCATTCAGCAAAACACATTTTATGTGCATAACTTTAAGCATATAATTATTCATATTGTATTTCAACAAGGCACTTAAGCTTGTGCTTAAGTCACATTGACTACAGTACTGCTTAAGACTGTGTTTTATGTTCGGTAAATGCTTATGTGCTTTGCTGAACAGGGACTGTTGTCCTCACACCCTTACAATTAAGCACATGTGTAAGATTGTTTTTTCAAAACTGCTCAGAATTCATCTATCTCTGACTTTGCTGGGAAAAATCCCATCCTGAAGGCTTTGCTGAGGTGAGGCAGAGGTGTTTCCTCTTTCAATATATCTTTTCTTTCTTTAATTTACTTTTAGTTCCTTGAAAATTCTCACATACTCTGTTTCCTCCTAACCTTTCCTTTTATGTTCAGCTTCCTTTAACCATTGTGTGCTTACTATTTCTTTTTCTCTCTTCTCTTACTGGAAGTTTTATGGCTGTCAGTATACTTTTTTTTCTTCATTTTTTTTCCTTTTGTCAGTTGTCCAAAGCCAACTGCCATTAGACCCTTTTGGTTTCAACTCTGTCTTTTCTTAGACACACAAGCTAAAAATGTTTTGCTACAGAAGTAGAAAGGAAAAGAGAGTCACGATGTGTGTAACATGAGAGAGAGAAGCATGATCTAAATATTCTAAAAAATTATTGCACAGCACAGATAATTAAATGCTAATTTCAGGCAATGAATATTTAGGTGACTTTTTAACAACATTTATTTACTCTGCAAAAGTCAATGCACACTGAGAATATTTAATTGAACTTGATGTCACTTATTTTACTGAAATGTCTACCACTTTATTTTAGGTCTTGGGAGAGGCAAAATGAGAGTAGAAGAGAAGCAGGAAGTTTTAGAGAAAGGAGAGAAGTGCAGTGTATTCCATATGCCTGCTAACTTCAGTCCCGGTGAGTACAAAGACTACCCAGAAAGTTTATCTCTGTTATTTTGTCATCAAGTGACATATGTTTAGGGCCCTGTGGCACAGCAATGGCAAAATTTGTGGGAACAACTACATTTTCTGGACTTATTTTGACTATGTTTCATTTCTATTTTCCTGTGTTCTATTTCACTGTTAAACCACAAACACAGTTTGGTTCATAGTTTACAACACGATTGACATAAAATGTATTGTTGGTTTTTTTTACAATGATTATTTTTGAGGATGGGTTTTTGGTAGCCTTTCTGTGTGGCTCAACTCTGCTTGCCAGTCTGTGACTCTCATGCTACTCTCTAAATCCAGATTAGACCATCTTCTTCCTGTGCATGTCAGAGAAGTGGGGCTTGTGGTTTGCTTCAAGTGTCTTGTCCACATGGCTCTCCAGACCTCAGCTACTGCTGTTTTCTCGGCTGTCACATTTTTCAGCCTACACTTTTGGCTCTCACTCAGTGACTGGCAGCTGGACTCCAGCTCTGGTTCTTTGAGACACCTACTGCCTACCTACATGAAACAGAGCAGAAAGCATGCACAGTAATCCAGCCACAGAATCACAGAACACCCATTTTACATTCTGTAATATGTAATTGGATTTTAAAAAGTGTCCAGGTGACTGTTTTTAAATTTGACATATGTCACTGAAATGTACATTTTATTTTTGCCTTTTTGTCTCAAATGAAAAACTTATTTGTCAAATCAAGGATTTCAAATCATATAGCTCTTTTTTTGGAGCCAGAGGGTATCAAATCCAGGACGCTGGGTTCACTGGAATTATAAATGCAGGCACATGCTTTACTTGCTTCACTGCATTGTCCCAGAGACCTGGCAAGGGATAGGAAATTATAATAATCTTACTCTTTCATCACTGTAGAGCACAGGTTTCTTTTCAGTTTCATGTCTCTGCCAGCTCATCATAATAGAACTAGTGGGGAAATATATAAATAGTTTGATACTTGAGAATCAAACACACTGTCCCTCATGTTTCTATTTGCTTTTCGTTTATCAGCTGGTTTCTTAGGTTGTCGCCTTTGTTTTTTCAAACTGCTAGTTATTTCTGTACTGATGTGCATGTTAAAGAAGGGGAGAAATGTCTTATGCATGTTTCTGGGAACATGTTAAATACGATGATAGGTATTGATAGTCTATCTTGTCCAGCACCAGAAGTCAAATGTTAATTGATGATGTCCATTACAAACATGTATTTAAAAGGTCTGCAGCTTTCATCCATAAACATTATATCTGTTCACATTTTCCTTGTAAGGACTCAATTTAGAAATTAAAAAAAACCCTGAATAGAAGTTGTATGTGAATAGTGAAAAGTGTTTACTTGTTTTACTTGTTTAAAACGATGCTTTATGCTTCTTGCACACTAAGCATCATTGATTTAAAAGCTTAAGTTTAGCAAACAGTCAATAATACTTGTTTTCCATAATAATTTTTGTTTAAAATATCTGACAAATTTTAACTTTAAAAATTGACTAGTGTTAAGCTGCCTTTTTTTGGTCACGTATTTTCTAAGGCCCTTGATCTTGGAGCTGCTTTCTGCAGTCAGATCCCTGTTACAACATGGAGTTCATTAGAACTCTGCTGCCTAAGAGTCTGCCTCTGTGGAACAGATTTTAAAATCAGAATCTAAATGGGTATTTTCACAATAGAACAATAAAATTGGAGTAACTGGTGATTAAGAAATAATGTTTAAAAACATCTAAATCCATTTTTATCCAGCATAGTAAAAGCTCCCTTGTTGTTAATAAGTATTTTATTAGTTAATATATAGTCCCATAAGAATTTTTGAATCAATATTACTTAAAAAAGGAAATTAAATAAAAAAATACTAAACATGATATATAAACTTCTTTACATGCATGCAACTTCTTTATATAATAAATAACAGGCTGTGAAAGGCATTAATGGATGTTAATAATTTAAACTGTTTATCTTATTTTTGCAGATGCATGAAGGAACGAACTCCTCTCTCATTACTGCTGCTTTCACATAGACCCTGATTCTATATTTGACTTTGTGGGTGGGACCATATTTGTCAAGGAGGCTTTACACTGGTGCAGGGATCTGTCCATATGAAGTCAACCACAGGATCAGGGCCCTAGTATGACTCTTCACTGTGCATTCTGTTGGTGAAATCATATATACCATTGAATTATGCTGGAACCTGCCTATTGGAATAATGTAAGTCCTGTTTTTCCCCCAGATTTGTTTTAGATATGAAATAATACTAAAACATTTTTCTGCTTAGAGTAGTTATAGCTTCTTGTTCTCTAAATAAATTTGTGATTTGGGGATTAAACTCATTCACATGTGCTCCTCTAATTATGATTTCGTGCCAATATCAAGTCATACACCATATTTTATCGTATACCACCCTACCCCAAGTAAGATACAAATCTCATTTTTAGAAGGCAGAGTGTAGAAAAAAGGTTTTTTCTAGAATCATCATGACCTAAAGCTGGCTTTTTCATGAAGACACTGTGCTGCAAAATGGCTGCCAACTTTTCTCTCCCTGCCAGGAAGAAGGAGGGGCATTCATACCAATGTTAACCCTTTCACAGTCGCTCTCAAATTAGCATCAGTTTTTGGCAAGTTTTATTCCATAACACAGATATGGGGGATATATAGTACTGAGGAGGCACTTACATCTTCATGCAGTGAAGTCCTGGCACAGAAAATTGCCTTCTCCACTTAAGACATGCACCCCAATTTTGGAGGGCTGATTTCTGGGGAAAGGATGTATGTGGTATGCGAGTAAATATGGTAGTCTTCAGACCATGTACTTATTGGTACTAAGGTTTTATGGATATTTGGTAAATTGTTAAGAAAGTTCCATTGGAGTAATTGAATTTGTGAATAATAATACATCAACAATGGAAAAGGACACTGGGGAAAAATATGGATTAGGAAGTTTGAATGAATCTAAGAAGCCCTTTTTTAGTTTACTTTTAGAAACCTTTAAAGTATGTGTGCTAGACATTTCATTATTCTCTGTATAATTTACTGTGTAAATGTTGGGCACTGTAGGGTATAGGCTCTTGGTAGAAAAATATGATTTTCTGTCTCTTTTCACTTTTATAAAAATTACTGTATTTACTTGAATCTAAGTTGACCCCGAATTTAAGACACCCTCTCCAATAATTAGATTCTATATATGGAAAATTTATTGTTAGAATTTTCTAGGTATAGAATTATTGGGGGGTTGTCCCTGCCACTGCAACAACAGGAATAGCAGTGGAGGGGGGCAGATGTCCCCCTTACTCTCTGTCCTCTCTATTTCTTCCCACTCTCCAGTCTTTACCTATTCCCACTCCCCCACCACCTCACTGTCAGATAGTGCTTAGGCTCTGTTCCCTCCCAGAGCACAGCACATAAAAGCGAAGCCCCTGTTGGCCATGGAACAGGTTAGTGCTGCTAATTGGTCAGGTAGGGGCCATGCAGCAGTGTTGGCAAGGGACAGAATTTCCATGTACTCTGTGCCCAGGAGGTTATCCAGCTTGAGCTGGAGGTGAGCCGCCCCTGATAGTAAGGCAGGAGAAGAGGGCATGGGGGTGGGGCAGAAGCTACAGAGGGCAAGCAGTGGGTGGGGGGACAGGAGGCTGCTGTAGGTCTGACTCTGGCCCTGACCCATGCTCAGAGCCAGAGTCAGAGCTTCAGAAGCCATCCCCCTACCCCCGCACTTTGTGTGCGAGTTTAAGACAAGGGGCTTTTCCTCCCATGCTGACGAGTGGGGGGGGGGGGGGGGGGGGGGGGCGATGACGACACGGGACGACACGACACGACGCACACCTCATCTTAGAATCAAGTAAGTATGGTAAATCTCTCAGTTGTTTTATATTCCCATGCACAAACTTTTTGAAATTTTCAGGAAGTCCTTTAAAAAATTGTTATGCAAATACCCCTAGTGGAGCTACAGCTCAGAAATTTACTAATAGACTTGTTTTCTTTTGGGTTGAATATAAGAATATTAATAAATATGTACTTGTACTTTGTCTTCCAATGAAAGTTGGCTCATCTAAACGATGCTGATATGGAATTATAAGTAAATTTAATCAGGTGTGCTGACTAACTGTAAATGACGGGGCAGGAACTATCTTTTGTGGTACCATCACATTCTTACATTTTAATTAATAGTAATAATTCTGCTGTCATATGTCGTTGCAGTCACACGGAGTGATTACAAATTCCTACCTTTGGATTGCAAAGGAAGCGCTCTCCCTACCACTGTCAGTCCAGTGGCTGCCAAGACTCATGTTCTTCATAGAATCATAGAAAATTAGGGTTGGAAAAGACCTCAGGATGTCACCTAGTCTAACCCCCTGGTCTAAGCAGGATCAGTTTTATGTCTAAATGAGTAGAAACTGTAGGCTGGGGGTTCTCTTGGTGTAATTATGATAATACTGTAACACTCTCCACCTGTGGTGATATTATTTATTTCCTTTTTGATGTTCAGATATTAATAAGCCTTTTTTGAATTAGGTCCTATTAACTGGAGAACATAAGAGCATAAGAAGTGCCATACTGTGTCAGACCAATAGTCCATCAAGCCCTGTATCTCATCTCCGATGGTGGCAGGGGTCGATGCTTTAGAGGGAGAGCACTGAACTGAATATATCTAGAGCAGGAGTGTCAAAAATCTGGTCCTCAGCCACATCATCCAGTCCCTGGTGCTGGCCATGTGTCTGGAGCTGACCTGTATGTGGCGTGTGCAGGACCAGCCCTGCACGCAGGGCCCAGGACATGTGCCTCATGCAGTAGCTGCTTCAGAACCTGTGGCACCCCGTAGGGCTAGTCTGGGACTCCCTCTCTCCGCATGCCAGATCACGTGTCCACAGCACCCACTCTGACTGGTTTGGGACAAAAGCTATCCAGGGCAGGTGCCAGAATGGGTGCTGGATATGGCACAATCCTGGACTGCCCAGACTGCATGCTGGGTGTGGTGTGTGGATGGGGGCATGGTTCATGGGTACCACCTATGTCATCCAGAGCTCACTCTGACTGGTCTGGGATCTGTACAACATGCGGTGCCCACCCTGGACCATCTGGAGCAGGCACTACATATGGCACAAGTGCTGGATTGGCCAGAGCAGGCGCCATGTGTGGCATAGTCCTAGATCAGTTGAAGCAGATGTCCAGCATGCAGTGGGAAGAGGAGGATCCATAGATTGAATCTGGTCCATGGGGCTAGCCCTGCTCTATTCATTTAGCCCATGGACCGGGACCATTCCTGTGCCACTCATCTGGCCTGTAGGGTCAGATGAGTTTGACACCCCTGATCTAGAGCAATCTGTCCCTCCTATTACCCTCCCTGGCATCCACCATTATTGGTTTAGAGATGCCAGAGGAAACATCTCCAACTGTTCTGTTCAATGGCTATTAAAAATATATCTCTCATCCATGAATTTATCCAGTCCCTTTCTGAACCTGGCTATGCCATCTGCCTCCACCACCTCCTGTGGCAATTAATTCCACAAGTTCACTACACATTGTATAAAAAAGTACTTTTTCTTGTTAGCTTTAAACCTGTCACTTACTAATTTCAAGTGGTTCCCTCTAGTTCAGGGGTGGCCAACCCACGGCTCTGGAGCCACATGCGGCTCTTCAGAAGTTAATATGCATCTCCTTGAATCTTTGCACAAGCACACGGTGACCAGCTTCCATAGCTGTTATGTTACGTCATGTGATGTGACTGCTCTCAGTGAGCACATTACTCAGTTTGGACTTGGAAGTTTGGACTCCGGAGCCGTGGGTTGGCCACTCCTGCTCTAGTTCTTGTATTCTGAGACATGGTGAATAACAGTTTCTTCTCCCCTTTGTCCACACCCTTCATGATTTTATAGACCTCTGTCATATCCTCCCTCAGCCTTTTCCTTTCCAAACTGAAGAGTTCTAGCTTTTACAGTCTCACCTGGTATGGCAACTACATCATACCCCTAATCATTTGGGTTGTGCTTCTTTGTACCTTTGCCAATTCTACTACATCCTTTTTGAGATGTAGAGACCAGAACTGTACACAGAATTCAAGATGTAGGTACACCATGGATTTGTATAATAGCATGATGCTGTTCTCCGTTCGGTTTTCAATTCCTTTCTTAACGATGCCTAGCATTTTATTGACTTTTTTGGTTACTACTGCTCATTGAGCTGTTTTTAGAGAACTATCTGCAGTAACTCCAAGGTTTCTTTCCTGAGTCACAGTAGGTAGTTCAGAACTCAGCACTGTGTACATATAATTGAGGTTATTTTTTCCCCTTGTGAACTACCTGTTGACATTGCAGTTAATTTACCATTTTTTGAGATCTGGCAAATTTTATTTTGGATCCCAAATATCATGTGTTACCACTGTACCATGCTGGCTTCCAATGATATATCACATACACTTTTATGTGTTATGCTAGGTGTCCACCATAATCTAAAACAAATGTGTACTTCCTCACAAAAAATACTTTTCAGCCCCAGAAAGTTAAAACAGCAGTAATAAGTGATGAGTAAATGTACTGCAAGAGTTTGCAGTTTTTAGAGTTGTTGTGGAAAAAATGATGAGCCATATATAGTAAATGGGAATACATGTGTATTACTTCACACATCTCCTATCAACTCCCTCCTTATTCCCAAGTGGACCAATGTATGAAAATTACCCTTGGTAGTGTCCTCTTCTCCCTTTCTAGTTAGATCTTAGGATCTTCTAATAGGCTGCTACTCTGTCCTCTGTGATACTTGTCATCAGGTAGCCTCTGTCTGTTCTGCTAAGCAAAAACTTATCTGTATTCACTGCATCACCATTCTTTCTCTTGGTCACCAACTTTAATTTGAGTCTTGTACTAGGTCTTTGCATCCAGGTGAAGTCTGCCTTGAAGATTATTTCTGCATAATATTCTGCATATCAGTTCTAAGCTATGGCCCCTTTTCTCACTCTGTACAGTTTAATCGCCCACCAGGCTCTCATTATTGCGTATCTTGACTACTTCAGCATCCTTTTCTCTGGTTTTGACAAGTGCATGTCCCCTGCTCATAGTCATTCTGATAATTCAAATAGATCATTTTCTGAGTCTATTTCTTTGACAATCACTCCTCCCTTTGTATCCGTTTTCTCCAGGACATCACAAATAAACCATTTGCCTTCATTTTCAATGCCCTATGTAATCTGCTCTGCCCAACCTTTCATCTCTTGTTCAGCATCA